CCCGGCCCCCCCAATTTAACCCTGGATCCCCCAGCCCCCCCCGGATGCTCCGCAGCCCCCCTGATGAACCTTGGGCCCCCCGGATTCCCCCAGCCGCCCCGGGGCCCCCGACTGCCCCCAGTTATCCCCACCCCCCGCCTGAACCCTGCTCCCCCGCTTTCCCCTGGGTCCCCTGCTGGCTGCCCTGAGTGAACCCCGGCCCCCCATCAGCCCCCCAGTGCTCTCTGCCTGCCCCCACCCCCCACTGGCCCCCCCTCCTGAACCTAGGCCACCCTGCTGCTGTACCCCCCGCCCCCCGGCCCCTCAGGCGCCCCCGACAGCTTCCTGACTGCCCTCGTCTGTCCCCTTGTTCCCCCACCTGCCCCCGGTCCTCCCACCTGTCCCACTGATCCCCCAACTGCCCCCCAGCCCCGGGTCCTCCCCGCCTCCCCCCACCAACCCCCACTCTCTGCCTGACCCCACCCCCGCTGGCCCCCCCGCCTGAACCCAGGACCCCCTGCTGCTCCCCGGTTCCCCCCTGCCCCCAGGCCCCTTGCCTGCCCCCAAGTGCCCCCGGAACCCCAGGCCTCCCTGACTCCCCTCGACTGTCCCCCCCCACCCCCCTGGGCCCTCAGCTGCCCCCCCGACAGCCCTCGTCTGCTCCCTTGTTCCCCCACCTGTCCCGGGTCCTCCCTGCCTCCCCCCAACTGGCCCCCACCTGCCTCCCACCCACTAATTTCCCCCGCAACTACTCACTGCCCCTCAACTGCCCCGGGCCCCCTGACTGCCCCCCCGGCCACGTGGTGTCTGCCGTGTGCATCAGCCCGGTACCGTGGGAATGAACCCAGCTGTCTCTGGGCGCCCCCCCCAACTGCCCCCCAGTCCCTAGTCTGTCCCCAGACTCCCCATGGCCCCCCAGTCTGCCCCCAGACCTCCCAACTGCTCCCTAGTCCTCCCGGCCTCCCTGTCTGCCCCTGAGTCCCCCATCTGCCTTCTGCCCCCGACTGCTCCTGGACCCCCCGCCCCGAGCTCCCCAGACCCCTGCCTGCACCCCTACTTCCTCCCCAGGCCCGTCTGCCTTCGGGTGCTTGCTGCCCCCTGCTGGAGAGAATGAACCCTGCTCTGCGTCTGTGTGGGGTGGGGTTCCAGCTCTCCGTCCCCTTCCCGTCCCCCCCACCCCGTCACCCAGGCCGCCTAGAAACATGGCCGGGCCCCAGGTGCAACACAGGGGGCCCTGCCCCCAGCGCTGTACGTGACGGCTCGCCCGGTGTGGCGATGCAGCCGTCTCTGGGGCGGGGCGGCTGGGGAACAGCCGTATATAACGCCGCTCGGGGACTGCATTGGGCAACAGAACGTGAGGTTCTAGAGCAGGAGGTGTTATCTGGGTAGAGGAGGGCACTTGCATGCTCCAGGTTCTAGCTCAGTGCGTGATGCCGTCGTTCTAGACTGGGACGGGCTCTTGCTGTTCTAGAGTCGGTGACCAACAGGCCTAGAGCTGGCCTGGCAACACAGGCTGCTGTCTGGGCTCTAGACCGGGGGGGAGGCTATTGATGTTCTAGAGTATGGCAGAACGGCCAGCGCCGGGTGTTCTAGATCAGATTGCATCATTGGTGTTTTAGAGACAATCACACAGCAGGTTGGCTGGGTTCTAGATCAGGATAGGCCCAGAGCTGGCAATACAGGCTGCTGTCTGGGCTCTAGGGGGGGGGGCAGGCCATTGATGTTCTAGAGGGGGTGATGCGGCCAGCGGCCAGTGCTCTAGATCCGCCTTCATCCTCGGTGTTCTACAGATAACCGTGCAGGGGATTGGCCGGGCTCCCGATCGAGACAGGCCATGGATGCTCTAGAACCGTCCAGGCACAGTTCTAGAGCAGGAGGGGGAACCAATCTGGATTCTAGAGCCGGCAGCGGCGTGGGCTGTCTGGGTTCTAGACCTGGCTGCCCTCTCCATGTTCTAGAGTGGCCAGGACACGGGGGTGTCTGGGTTCTAGACCAGGGCCCGCTCACCCCCTGCCCCGTCTGCTCTCCCCGCAGCGTGGAGGGGGACCCGCCGGGCAGCGAGGCAGGGCCGACGGTGGACAGCCCGGGCAGCCAGGCGCCCTACCGCTGCGGGGCTGAGCTGCCCAAGGCCGGGGAGCCCTACGACTTGGGCCCCCTGACCGCCACCGTCTCCGCCTGCCATCCCCCGGCCCCTGGGCTGCCTTGGGCCCAGCGGGCGCGGCTCCAGCCGGCCAGCGTGGCCCTGCGCAAGCAGGAAGAGGAGGAGAACAAGCGCTCGAAGGCCCTGTCGGACAGCTATGAGCTATCCACCGACCTCCAGGACAAGAAGGTACCGTGCCCCCCCCTGCGGCCCCCCTGGGATCCCCCCTCCCGGCCTGTGCCCCCCCAGGATCCCCCTTTCTGGTCTGTGCCACCCTGTGACCACCACCTCCCGGCCTGTGCCCCCCCCCCCCCCCCCCCCCCCCCCGGGACCTACCCTTCTGGCCTGTTCCCCCCTCCACGCCCCCCTGGGATCCCCCGCTTCCAGCCTCTGCCCTCCCCGCAGCTCCCCCGGCCTGTGCCCCCTGTGACCACCACCTCCCGGCCGGTGACCCCTCCCCCTGGGACCAGCCACCCCAGCCTGTGCCCCCCAGGACCTCCCCGGTTGGTGGCGCCCCCTCCCAGCCTGTGCCCCCCTCAATGCCCCTGCCCCGCAGGTGGAGATGCTGGAGCGGAAGTACGGGGGTTCGTTTCTGAGCCGGCGGGCGGCCCGCACCATCCAGACGGCGTTCCGCCAGTACCGCATGAACAAGAACTTCCAGCGACTCCGCAGCTCGGCCTCCGAGAGCCGCATGTCCCGCCGCATCGTCCTCTCCAACATGCGCATGCAGTTCTCCTTCGAGGAGTTCGACAAGGGGCCGCCCGCCGCCCCCTACTTCGAGGGCAAGCCGGCCTCCCTGGACGAGGGCACCATGGCCAGCGCCCGCCCCCACCTGCTGGAGCGCGGGGGGCTGCCCTACGGGGGCTCCTGCCGGGCCGGCCTGGACAGCGGCTCGCTCCACGCCTCCTCCGGCGACTTCTGCAGCGAGATCACCGAGCTGGAGGACTCCTTCGCCAAGCAGGTGTGGGGGGGGGCGGGGAGCCCCCTGCCCCCCTGGGACTGGGGAATGCCCCTCCTCCAATCTTAGCTCCTCCCCCCCGGGACTGGGGGATCCTCTCTCCCCAATCTTAGCTCCTCTTCCCCCAGAACTGGGGGATCCCCCCTCCCCCAACTTTCATTCCTCCCCCCCAGGGACTGGGGGATCCCCCTCCCCCAACCTTCGCTCCTCCCCCGTGGGACTCGGGGATGCCCCTCCCAATCTTAGCTCCTCCCCCCGGGACTGGGGGATGCCCTCCCCCCAATCTTAGCTCCTCCCTGCCAGGGACTGGGGGATCCCCCCCCCCAACCTTCCCCTGACTGTGGGAGAGAATTATAGGGAAGGGAGGGGCCTGCTTAGGGGGCGGGGCTTATAAAGAGGAGAGGGATAGGGGAGGGGCTTATTAGGAAGGGAGGGGGTTATGGGAAGTTTTGCAGAGGGGTGGAGCTTGTACAGAAGGGAGGGGCTTACGAGGAGGGGTGGGGCCCAGAGGGGCGGGGCCTCTCCTCTCACCCGCCCCCCCTCCCCCCGGCAGGTGAAGTCCCTGGCGGAGTCGATTGACGAGGCCCTGAACTGCCACCCGCTGCCGGCGCCGGAGGGGGGGGGGCCCGGCCCGCTGGAGAAGAGCGAGTCGAAGGAGCAGCAGGGGGACAGCGCGGCCACCTCCTTCAGCGACGTCACCCTGTACCTGGACGAGGGGGTGCCGGCCTCCCCCCTCTCCCTGGAGCGGCCCCCCAGCTCGGAGCCCCCAGAGCCCGGCCCCCCGCCAGCCCAGCCCCGGCCCGAGTTCTGGGGGGCCCCGCCGCGGGAGGACAGCCGGGAGAACGGGGCCGGCCGGCGTGGGCCCCCCTGCCTGGAGTGCCGGGACTTCCGCCTGCGGGGGGCCCACCTGCCCCTGCTCACCATCGAACCCCCCAGCGACAGCTCGGTGGACCTGAGCGACCGCTCCGAGCGCAGCTCGGTCCACCGGGGCCTGGCCTACGAGCCGGACGGCTGCGGGGCCCCCAAGCACCCGCCGGCCCCCCCGCCCCCGGCCCCCTCGCCCCACCCCCTGCGCCACTACCGCCCCGAGCCCGCCCCGCCCCCGCCCCCGCCGCCCGGACGCCTGGGTCCCGAGCACTCGGACGGCGACAACGACAGCCTGCAGAGCAGCAGCAACTCCAACGAGACCATCAACTGCAGCTCGGGCTCCTCCTCCCGGGACAGCCTGCGGGGCCCCCCGCCCCCGCCCCCCCCGGCGCCCCCGCCCGCCGGCCCCGGCCCGGGCCTGTGCAAGCAGACGTACCAGCGGGAGACCCGCCACAGCTGGGACTCGCCCGCCTTCAACCACGACCTGCTGCAGCGGCGCCAGTACCGCATCGGCCTCAACCTCTTCAACAAGTGGGTGCCCCGGCGCAGGAAGGGGGGGGCTTCCTGGGGGCAGGGCTCCTGGGGGGAGGGGCTTCCTGGAGGAGGGGCTTCCTGGGGGGAGGGGTTGAGGGCACGCGGGACCCCTGTTTCCCAGAATTCCAGTTGGAGGGAGGGTTGGGCCCCCCCCGATAGCCCTACCCCTCCCAGCCCTGCTGCTGCCCCTCACTCACAACCCGCAGCCCCCCTGCTAGCCCGGCCCTGCCCCTCCCAGCCCTGCTGGTGCCCCTCACTCCTGACCCGCAGCCCCTGCCAGCCCAGCCCTGCCCCTCCCAGCCCCACCGGTGCCCCTCACTCCCGACCCGCAGCCCCTGCTAGCCCGGCCCTGCCCCCACCCCCCAGCTCTGCCAGGGCGTTGGACGGGTGGGGCCGGACGCTGCATTCTCTGGTGCGGTCACTGATTTAATTACTACTAAAGGACACAGCAGCTGCTTCCCGGGCTGGGCGGCGGCCGTAGGGATCCAATTAGCCAGCTGAAGCCATGATTCAGCCGCGCCTCCAGGGCGGATCCAGCGCCTGCTCGAGCGGGCTCCGGCCTTTAGAGCCTGCAGTGGGGCCCCTTCCCCCCCGCCCGTTCTGGAGTTCTAGAATTCCGGCCACGTTCCGGATCGGCCCTCTAGAACGCCCTGGAACCAACCCACCTGGGGGCTTTAGCGTGAGATTTCCCCGCTGCGGATTTGGGTGCTGCCTGTGTTCTGGATCAGTTTATCTCTTCCGTTCTTGGCTGGCCACATCAATGTAAACACGATTGCATCTGTGATAGAGAGCCGAATTTGTCTCGAAGCCACTCTAGAACAGCAGTCGGTGTTCCTGGGTTAATGATTGGCTTAATCGGCCATGTTCTAGAATGGCTAGGTTCTAGAACTGTGCTGCTCTAGAACAACAAATGCCGTACAATTTTGTTTTGCCATAGGGTGACTGGCTTTCCTCTGGAGCAGCTGAGTTATGGAAGTATTGAGGGCTCCAAGGAATCCAGAACCACACAGCCAGGATTCTGGATTAACACTATATAAACGCTAGGTGGTGTCTAGATTGACTGTAATTTGTTCTGGAGTATCCCTTTTAGACTCATTAATATTTCTACATGATCAGTAGCAACACTACCTCTGTTCTAGATTCACACCAGGCAGTGCTTGAGTATGCATAGCAGATGTACATTGTGTTCTTGGTAACCCTCAGCTGGCCAGACGTGTCTGTCCCAGAACGTAGTCTCGAACATTTGCTCAAGACCTGCAAAAGCCCCCCTGAGACCCAGGTGTCCGGCACTCTTAGCTAAGTCCTCAACAGGCAATGTTTTCTAGAACGAGCAAGTTCTTGACCTCTGCTCTGGAACAACAGAGACACTGCCCTGTCTGCAATGGTGGGGCTCTGGCAGGGCACTGTTCTAGATCAGTGATATCTTGTTGAAAATGTCCTAGAACAACGGTGGTCTTGAATGACTTTCTTCTAGAACAGTGGTGATCTGGAATGGCCAGGTTCCTTCCAGAGGGGAACTGGCCTGTGTCTGGTCTGGTTCTAGAATGGAAGGGATCTGGAATGGAATTTTCTAGAACACCTATGTTCCTGGTTTCTCACCCCCGTCCCCTTCTGGCTAGCATCTCCTCTCCGGTTCCTCTGGCCGTCTGCCCCGGGGCAGCGGCGTTCTAGAGGCTGGTGACTCTAGACCCTTTCTCTCCACGCCCACAGGAAGCCGGAGAAGGGGATCCAATACCTCATCGAGAGAGGGTTCCTCTCGGACACGCCGGTCGGGGTCGCTCACTTCATCCTGGAGCGCAAGGGCCTGAGCCGGCAGATGATTGGCGAGTTTCTCGGCAACCGGCAGAAGCAGTTCAACCGTGACGTTCTTGAGTAAGGAGCTGCCGGGCGGGGGGACAGCTCCATTGGGGGTGTTCTGGAGCAAGGAGGGGCATGGAAGCAGGTACCCAGAGCAAAGACAGCAAGCACAAATTGATCTAGATCACGTGATCTAGAGTAGGGCGCATGCGCTGTCTGGAGAGGAACAATTGCGGGCAGCCGGTGGGTTCCCGACCCACCTTCCTGAGGTGGTGGAGCTCTGGCTTTGGGCGTCATCCTGCACGTTCGCCCACGAGACTCTAGAGACTGCTGGAGCATGTGGGGATCTCTGAGCAGGTTCTGGAGGGGACCCAGCGCTGACCTGCCCTCCCCTTTCCAGCTGCGTGGTGGATGAGATGGATTTCTCCAACATGGACCTGGACGACGCTCTGCGGAAGTTCCAGTCGCACATCCGGGTGCAGGGGGAAGCGCAGAAAGTTGAGCGTCTCATCGAAGCCTTCAGGTCAGTTCGAGAACCTTCCCGATGCGTCGGGTATGCTGGGGACGGGGGGTAGGGGGTGGTCGGCTCAATTCTGTGGACTCTGGCGTTCTAGACCGAGACGGGCATCTTACAAAGCAGCTGGCGTTCTGGAGCACGGATGCCTTTAACGGGCTCGGTGAAAGCCTGAGCTGTTCTGGAGCAGGATTGGCCTGGTTGCCACTCCAGAACCCACGTGGCCTTCTAGAACACAGCCCATCTTGGTGGTCTTCTGGGATGCCCTGTAGAAGGCTGCCAGCATTGGTAGGGGCCTAGGATGTGGCCACATTCCACGTTCTAGATAGATGTTCCACGTTCTAGATCCACATTCTAGATAGACATTATTCCAGGCTGCACCTGTCCTTCTAGAACAGGGTTTGTGCCGATGACACTCCAGAGCGCCCCAGTGCCCTCGTAGGCCGGCTGCGCTGACAAGACCCTAATGCCGATTTCCGTTGATTATAAATAGGTTTTGGGTGTTTTTCTACATTTTCAAATCCATTGATGTCAAATAAACACAGAAGACACATGCACAGAGCAGACTTTATGTTGTTGTTTTCGCCTGGATGTTTTTCTACCTTTTCAAATCCGTTGATTTCACTTACAACACGGAACGCAAAGCGCACTGGGCTCACTTTTTAGGGTTGTTCTTTTTGATTGCAAATATTTGCCCACTGAAAAAGAGAAACAAAAGAACTCGAATCTCTCACGGGAGATAATGCCGCCGCTACTTCTCTGCAGCGTCACCTGAAAGGGAGAACAGGCGTTCGTTCGCCTAGCACTGTTGTAGCCTGTTTCCCTGCCAGATACGCTAAACATTCGTATGCCCCGTCCGGCTCCGACTTTCTCTTCTTTATCTTTTTTTACAGTGCAAATATTTGCAATCAAAAAACCATCCTATAACGTGAGCTCTGTGCGCTTTGCGTTCTGCGTCGTGATCGAAATCAATATATTTCAGAATGCAGAGAAATAGCCAAAACTGTTGGTAATCGGTGGAAATTGGCATTCTGGTCTTGTTGAACGGGTCGATGAAATCGGCGAGGAAGCACGATTTGTTCTTTTCATAGTCTGTCTGCCCTAGATCATTGGCCGTTTGATGCAGTGGCAATCTCATATCTGCTCTAGAACAGGCAGGGATCTGGACCGGCTGTGATATGCTGCGGGAGCCAGAGAGCCAGGGCCCGGATCCTCTGCTCTAGAACAGGCTGGGATCTAGAATGCCGGGGTTCTGGAAACTCTGCATCAACAGGGCGTGCATTGTTCTGGAGCATGCTATGGAGGGCAATCTAAAAGGCACCCGGTGTTGGTGGTGATCTAGAACATAGGCATCGCTCTGGAATGCAGCCTGTCCGTGGTGTCCAGTGGCACCCTTTGGTGTCCAAGAACCCAGGCCGCATGGGCGATGTTCTAGAGTGGTCTAGAAGGCTGTTCTAGGCTGCGCTGCAGTGGGGGAAGGGGAGGGAGGATCCTTCACCCTCTGCTTCCCGGTGCAGCCAGCGCTACTGTGTCTGCAATGCCCCGCTCGTGCGCCAGTTTCGGAACCCGGACACCATCTTCATCCTGGCCTTCGCCATCATCCTCCTCAACACCGACATGTACAGCCCCAGCGTCAAGCCCGAGAGGAAGATGAAGCTCGATGACTTCATCAAGAACCTCAGAGGTAAGCAGGGGGGAGGGGTGCTCAGGAACCCATGGAACCCCGCGTCAGTACCGGGATATAGCCTGGGGTACTCTGGAGGAAAGCAGCTAGATCCCTGGTCTAGAAAGAAACAGGATCCAGAACAGCTGGTTGATGGGGGAACTGTGAGCAGAGCTGCTCTAGAACCTGGTCCTAAACCCCATCGGCATCCAGAACACGGGAGCCCAGGGCTTTGAGTGGCTGGGGCCTGCGCCAGATGAGATCTGTGCCAGGGATCTAGAGATGGGATCTAGAACAGATGGGGAGAATCATCTGCTCTATGAGCTGTGCAGGAGGGTCTAGATCCTCCGCTCTACAGCAGACTGGGATCTAGAACAGCTGTGATCCACCCGGGGGGCTAGAGCCACCGGGCCTGGATATCTGCTCTAGAACAGGCAGGGATCTAGACCGGCTGAGATCCGCAGCGGGAGCCAGAGCCCCAGGGCCGGGACCCTCCGCTCTAGAACAGGCTGGGATCTAGAACGCCAGGGTTCGGCACCCGAGGCTGCAGCCTCTGTTCTAGACTTGCCGGGGTTCTGGGTCGAGCAGGGGACTGGGACGGTGTTTGCCCCCCGCCCCACCCATCGCCGGGTCCGTCTGCCCCCAGGGGTGGATAACGGGCAGGACATCCCCCGCGACCTCCTGGTGGGGATCTACCAGCGCATCCAGAGCCGTGAGCTACGAACGAACGACGACCACGTCTCCCAGGTCCAGACCGTCGAGCGCATGATCGTGGGGAAGAAGCCGGTGAGTGGGGTGGGGGGGTGGAGCCTGCTGGGGATGGGGCGGGGCTTCCAGGGAGGGAGGGGCCTCATAGGGAAGGGGTGGAGCCCTGGGAAGAGGGCGTTGAGGGTGGGGCTTCTTTGGAGGGGGTATGGCCTGTCAGGGGAGGGGCTTTTCAGAGAAGGAGGCGGAGCCTATGGGGAGGGGCTTGGCTGGGTGGGGCCTCACAGAGGGAGGCGGGGTCTAAGGGGTGGGAGGGGCCACTGGGAATGTGTAGGGGAGGAGCTTGATGGAGAAGAGGGAGGGGCGGGGCCTCGGGAGGAAAGGAGAGGCGTTTTGGGGGCTTCTGTGGGCGGGACTCAAGTAGGCTCCATCCCTCTGGTCCCACTGACCCTCCCCCCCCCCCCCCCCACGCTAGGTGCTGTCCCTGCCCCACCGTCGCCTGGTCTGCTGCTGCCAGCTCTATGAGGTGCCCGACCCCAACCGGCCCCAGCGGCTCGGCCTGCACCAGAGAGAGGTCTTCCTCTTCAACGACCTGCTGGTGGTGAGTGGGGGCGGCCCGGACACCTGGGTTCCATCCTCATCTAGTGGGCTAGAGCTGGGGTGGGGGGAGGCTGGGAGCCAGGACTCCTGGGTTCTCTCCCCGGCTCTGGGAGAGGAGTGGGGTCTGGTGCGTTAGAGCGGTGGTGGGGGGGGAGGCTGGGAGCCAGGACCCCTGGGTTCTCTCCCCGGCTCTGGGAAGGGAGTGGGGTCTGGTGCGTTAGAGCAGGGGGGGCTGGAAGCCCGGACTCCTGTGTTCTCTCCCGGCTCCGGGGGGGAGGGGGCTAGAGGGCAGAGCTGGGGACTCTCGCTGACCGCCCCCCCGTCCCCAGGTGACGAAGATCTTCCAGAAGAAGAAGATCCTGGTGACGTACAACTTCCGCCAGAGCTTCCCGCTGGTGGAAATGCACATGCAGCTGTTCCAGAACTCCTGTGAGTGCCCCTCCCCCGCTCGGACCCACCGCCCCCCCCCCCCGTGCCCGGCCGGCCTCCCCCCCCCCCCCCCCCCCCCCAGATTACCAGTTCGGGATCAAGCTCCTGTCGGCCGTGCCGGGCGGGGAGCGGAAGGTGCTGATCGTCTTCAACGCCCCCAGCCTGCAGGACCGGCTCCGCTTCACCACCGACCTGCGGGAGTCCATCGCCGAGGTGCAGGAGATGGAGAAATACCG